GTAGATCCTTTGTCAGTGTCAGCCATGTGGATGAGTCACAGCCATTGCTTGACCAGTTTTCTCTCTGAGAGAGCCTGAAAGAATGTTTTCTCTCCATGTGACTCTCTTTAGGCACACTCTACATCATCGATCACTTTCTTCTGTGGCCCCATAATCTCCTTGATCAGAAAATTTGGGACATCACTGAGTTACAGAATGTTACAGTATAGGTTTGCTTATGTCATGAGGCCAAAATGTTAGCTGTCCTTGCAGCCCTTCTTTTTACTAATTTTTGGTCTGTAAACTTAAGTTCTTAACCATCCAGAAGAGAAGCTTAATGACATTATTACCCTATAAAATAGGCAATGGAGCTTAACCTCACTGTCTGTCTGAATATCAAACATCTTAGACATAACATGGGATATGATGTTTTTAATTCCCAGAGATTCTTAAATATCTCTTTTAGGAGTAGTGCCCACTTCCCATCTAATTGAGAAATATCACTAATTGAGAAAGAAAGATCATATATATTTGTGTTTTAAGATGTTCTTGGGGTCTTGGCATCTTTGAAACCAATCAGATTTGTTGTCTGGAATAAAGGAAACTCTGTCTAGGTCCAACAAAATATTTTTATTTGGTGAGCTGTAAATGCTGGTAAAATCTGATAAGGTTTGTGGCAAAAACTAAACATTCTAAGTCCCTGAGGTCAAGATACAATTGAAATCTCCTAGCTTTGTAAGACCAGAAAGGCTTTGAAGCATCAGCTCCTGAATCACTCTCAGGTTATCTCAGAGGACAAGAAGCACTCGTTTCAAAAGACCTGAGCTGGCCGAGTGCTGGCCATTTTCTTGCTTGCCTTCCTTGGGACAAGGAGAAGCTTCATTGGAGTTAAGGTGATGACTGAATTGTGGAGAGCTGAACACACAACTTAGCTTCACAAGCCCCATGTTCATACCAGTTAAGCTCAGACTGCTAAGAATGGTGGGTACCACAACCCAGTTCCTGAAATGTTGTCTCTCCCTTTGTCCAGAATGGCTCTAAAGTACATGCAGCTCTCCGCACCACTTAATCAATACAAGAGTCTGACTTTTCCCATAGAATTGATATCAGTGTGGTTCTAAGTTTTATAAGAGAGAAAGAAGAAGGAGATAGCATCTTCTACAGAGAAGGTTGTAACCCTCAGAGTATCACTCCACAAGGCAAGGTGATATCAAAGTGTTTTGTTAACAAGTTTTCTCTGGCAGCCTCAGGTGCCAGCATAGTTGGATAGCAGAGGCAATAGGTGAGGATTGTTTTTCTGTTTGTTGAAATGAGTTTATCTGCCAGTCCTGATGGAGTCAGAAATTTGTTTGAAATTCCCTGCAGGAAATTCTACAAACTCTTGTCTAAATAAAATTTGTATACACTGGGGCTGGTGAGATGGCTCAGTGGTCTAAAACACCTACTTAGAACAAGCTTAGCAAAGCATGAGGACCGCGGTTCAATCCCCCAGCACCACATGCCAGCCAGCCCCGCCCCCTGGTGGGCTGAGCTGCCCCCCCCACATAAATAAATAAATAAATAAATTTTAAAAAAATTTGTATACACTGAGGAAGTGCATATAAAGGGGTTTCTATTTCTTGAGTACACTGAAGAGCAAGAGTGGCATTAGTTCTGTGAGTTATGGCTCCTCTTAGAATAGAATAGGAGTTTGTTTATTTGTTTGGAGCCAGGGTCTCATTATTTTTTCTGGGCTGGCCTTGAATTTGGAATTCTGCATCAGCCTCCCAAGAAGCTTGGATTCTTGGATTACAGGCATGCCACTATGTCCAGTTTAGAATAATGCCCTTAACTAATGTCCCAATCTTCCCAGATGGGAGTCCAGCAAGAAGAGGTAAGACTGCCTTCTGAGGTACTGACACCACAGAGTAGCAGCTTTCCCTAAAGTTACACATTCTAGGATCTGGCAACACAGAGGGGAAGAAAGAAAATGACAGGAAGCATGACTATGCAATTGAGACATCTCTGGATTAGAAAGTAAGGGTTGGTGACAAACAAGACAAAGATTTATATTGCCTGTAAGGGAGTTATAGAAGGTAATTTGGAGATGACAAATTTATTTCTCTTTCCTATTTTTGGATAATTTTCATCATTCTTAGCTGTCTTCAATGCCCTAAATATGCACAAAACATAAATTTAATGACTGTTTATAAGTTCTTGTCAACTTCATGTCTTCTATGTCCTAGATGGCCTACCACCATGTTATGTAAAAACTTTCACTGGCCTAAAGGTAGAAACAAGTATGATTTTTCAAAATGTTAGTCAGAATATTTCAATATAATGCTCCAGTGTGACAGCAGCAGTATTTTGAAAAATTCATGTGCTTTTCTCCTTATCATCCTAGTCGTGCTTTTTATTTAAAGAGTTCAGCATCTTTCTGGCTGCATGCTGGGGGAGGGTGTAATTAGGACTGAGAGCAGTAGACAGCTTTGACTTACAAACCAGGACTTTGCAGTGAGACACCTGTCACGGAGAAAGGAGATTTTCTATTGCTCTTGGCTCCAGCTTAGTATGTTTGGAGCCTGACTGGGCAAACAAATCATTAAGTATTTGCTCCTTTTTCCTAAGACACCATAAAAAAATGTCTTTCACTGTGGTAGAAACAGGATGTTATGAAAGAAAAATAAAAAGAAACCTTTCTCTTGTGGTCCAGGGGATGATGAGAAGTTAAAAAGGAAATGAAGGAAGAAAATATGTGTGGTGAGAAACTCATGCTCTAAGATGGTCATTTGTTTATCTCAGATTCTGGGAAAGCTACGTTGAGTGACTTCCCCTCAAAAAGATATCCCCTAGTATAACTGGGAGGTGAGAGAGAGACAGAGACAGAGAGACAGAGACAGAGACAGAGAGAGATAGACAGAGTGACAGAGAGACAGAGACAGAGAGATAAAGACAGAGACAGAGACAGAGACAGGGTTCCTAATTAACCTTTTAAAGCAAATCTATGTCACCTAGACACAGAGTTGAGTCAGGAGTCAGCCGTGGCAGAGGCAGAGAGATGGTCCCTCAGCAGTATCCAGGCTGGATAATGAAGGGAGATTCACTTGAAAGGGCTGACACCTAGAGGGAGCCAAATGTAGGCCAGGCCACCAAGGAAGGGTAGGCCTGGATCAGACCAGGAAAACACTCTTATCAACCACTGAATTCTTTAGCCAAAATTTGAGTCAATAAGCCCCAGGAATTAATCTATGTGTGCCATAGATCAGGGCCATAGAGACCTCTTTTTCCCTACCCTATATTATAAGAATATAATAAACTAGGGCTGAGGAGGTAGCTTGGGTGGAGTACTTGCCTAGCATGGGAAAGTCCTGTGTTTACTTCTAAGTGCTGGATTGGGGAGGAAGAAAAGGGGTGGTAAGAATGTAATAAACTATG